TCGCTAAGTTCATCTTCATCTGAATCTTCTGATACAGAACAATCTGATGTGTGGAAACTGTCATCCATATTACGCTCAGATGTAAGAGAATTATCAGACTCAATATTAGCATTAGTACTCATACATTCTGATGTTGATTTTTCTTTTGTTAATGTAGATTCTGCAAGTGGAGCAAAATCTACCAACATAGTATTTAAACTGTTATTATCCATGACGCAAGTCTTATTTAAAATATTTCCTTCGTCAATAATTTTATAAGTATTATTAAATTCTACATTGGATATAATTTTTATAGTCTTAATCTTATCGATTGCCTTTATATTTGCATCACAAAGCGTTATATTAATATCATTTTTATCACTTATGTTGCATATCTTAATATCACAGGCATTTTTGTCATATACAATATCATTTCTATCAGTTATATTGCATTGCTCAATATCACAGGCGTTTTTGTCATATAAAATATCATTTCTATCACATATGTTGCATTGTTCAATATCGTTTTTGTCATATAATGAACAAATATCATCTATATTCGAATTTATATTTGATGCATTAACATTTAATGTAGTATCAATGGGTAATACAGCAGCATTAATTAATGATGAATCTAGAAATAAAAATAAAAATAAGATTTTCAAAACTTAATGTACCAATAACTATTGCTTCCAATTGATATTTTTACTTTATTTAGATACTACATCTTTGAATTTTTTTTATATTCATTTTTGATAAAAATTTATAGAGTATGTATATTTTTATTGTAAATATAAGTAATATGCAAAATATATTTAAAATGTTGTTTTAAATAGTATATAGTCATATTCAGTATACATATGCTGAAATCTTACCATTTATTATGTTGTTAGTATTAAGTAATTTATTGCAATTTTTGTCAATAGTAGAAATATCTTTAGGTAAATGCGCAAGGTCTTTAATTTTATTTGCATCGCAAGATCTTATATTATCATTTTTATCATCCATGCTGCATTGCTCCATATCAAAAAACGTGCAAACATTTTCTATATTCGAATTTACATTTAATGTATCAATGTTTAATATTGTATTAATATCTAATATAGCATCAGTATCAATGAATGATGAATCTGAAAAGAAAAATGTATAATTAAAAAAAAAGACTAATGCAGATATTGGTATCAATTGTATATAATTTACTTTTATTTATAAATAAAATGCCAAATATTTCAACTCTGTGCAATTCACACACAGATCCATAAAATCAATATCTCATATAACTAAGTTATTAATAACAAAGAGCACAATAGAGAATTAATACTAAAAGCAGTTACGTAATAATTAAGTCTATGCAATATGCAAATTAGAAAGCTAAAAAAAGATTGTAATATCAAACTAATAACTTGTAAAATGAAACGACTAAGAGCTGATTTTTCTTGCTTGAATACCTGCACATGTTGACTTTGTTTGCTCTCTTTATTAGTTTTAAAATAGTTCATCTTTATTAATTTTAAAATAATTAACCTTTTTAGTTATTATATATTTTTACAGCCATTTTATATCTGCTATTGCATAAATCATTGCTGATTTGATTTTATGACACCTTTTTATATCTCTGACATGCTGTATCCACTGCAACTTTAATATTTGTACATTTAATCTGCTTTATGATATTTGTGTATTTTAGTTTCTTGTACTGCTATTGATAAAGAAAAGAATCAGAATTGAATCAAAACGTTTGGCGTTTTGGTTATAAATAAATAAATTCTTCAAAATCATACACCAACATTTAAAAATATCTATTCTTTTCACAATTAAGATTCCATATCCTTAACCCCTTTATCTGTTTTTGATAACAATTTATTATTTATTCTGATAACAATTTATTAAAAGTACGTACATAATACTCATTTTGTAAATATTTTATAAAAAGTAATGCGTACAATTATCATAAAAAAGAAAATGTCTAATAAATATACATTGAATGTATTTAAAATGTCTTACATATACAATTAGATATATGCAGAAATCTTACCATTCATTATATTGATATTATTAGTTAATTCATTAGAATTTTTATTGGTAATAGGATTATCGTTATGCAAATATGCACGATCTTTAATTTCATTATTCGCACTTGCATCATCACAAAGCATTGTATTATTCACTTTTATCACACACGTTGCATTATATATCACAGTTTTTATCAACTAATGTACAAATATTTTTTGTATTCATATCCAATGTATTCATATCCGATGTATTAATATTTAATGTGGCATTTGTATCTGCAGTTAATAATGCATTTGAAAAATAATTAAATAAGTTAAAAAATATGTATATAAAATATTGTATCGCAAACATAATTTATAGAAAAACAAAATTTACTAGATTATTTTTATTAATTTTTAATTTAGTTTTGTAATTTATAAAAAATAAATATAACTATAATTTAAAAAATATTTACATAATTGCACAATACATATTATGTATACAAATAGATTAAACATATCAAAGACTTACCATTTATCATGTTATCATTAGCTATTTTATTATTAACTACTTTATTGGGACTGCCATCACTAGAGAGAGTAGGAACATTTTTAGACGAAAATGTAGGATTTTTATCATTGCTGTGTGTTATATCAAACAGCGGTAAACTGTTACCAATTTTGTCACTTTTAGTGCATTGTTCAATATTATTGGAATCATTCGATGATGCGCAAATATCTTCACTCTTATTCGAATTTGGCATATTTGATATATCATTTGATGTGTTATTAGTATCAGAAGTTAGCGATACATCTAAGAAATGAAATTTGAATAATATTTTATTGTACATATATTAAATAAGTATAATTTTGAATAAATTTTTTAAATTAATATATATGTATATATATAAATAATGCATATATTCTAACATTACCTGATGAAATATTTAATAATTCTATAGCTGGAATTGCTTTATTCAAATTGTCTGCAATTTCTTGTAAAACAGATTTATTTGCTGAAATTTATACATAAAAAAGAAAATAAAAAATGGACACATTATACACATATATTGCTATGCAATATTATTGCATAGATATTTTTCAATATTATTTTTGCATAAATAATATTACAATATATCTGTAGAATGACAGTGAATAACATACATGTGTATAAATATATTTAAAAATAAATATAATTTTATAAAATTTTAGATACCACAATACTGTACATAAATATTGCAAAATAAAAAAAATCTGTTTATAAAAATGTACACAAATGTATATAAAAAATGCAAAAGATATGCAAGACAATATCAAATCATATTCTCTGAATAATTTTTTTATAATTCTGGAAAGGGTTATTATAGATATTATATATTAATACATATACTCACTATGAACTGCGATAATGTGAGATTTTTTTACTTTTTTCTTTTTTGAACACACAGTATAACGTCCTTTAGCAAATATTAATATAAACATTTTGTGTGTGTGTATAAACAACTGCAACAAATGCAAATATGCGCAGAAACAAAATCGAGAATATAATATTTATTCCGTCATCGAGCCATCCGTATGGTTAGGTTATGAGGTTAACATATTATTTTATTTTTAACCTAATGATATATCACAAAAAGAGTGTGAATGCGAATATCAAAAGATAATGGCTATACACTTACATAATCATAATCAATTATACACTTACATAAAAATACGATCTATTAATATAAAATAACTCGATTGCAATATATGTATTGCTCATCTACATGATGATATTGATGTTCTAAACGAGTTTGCGGAAATCGTATATAGACGATATAGACTAGACATGCGGAAAAGCTGCACGCTCATTGGATATCGCGCATCGCGTGTCGCGTCATCGCGCTGGTGTGCAGGAGCCATTATGATTTACGACTCTATTGTAGACTAAGCTTTAAATTAATCTTTTGTAAGGAAAAGCATTGAAATAAATATTAAAGCTTTGAATGGTAATATAAATATTTTTACTCCTCTCTATATATATTTATAATAGAAAAAAAAATATTACTATTTTTTAAATTAAATGCAGCTACATGCATATTTAAAAAAGTGCATATGATCATTAAGAATGCCTTTATATATACCGCGATGTCTTTGACGACAGTCGTGAAAACTGCCAATAGTCGTCAAAACTGCCAACTTATACTTCAAGATGTCGTCAAAACTACCTTTAGACAAATATATATATTGTACAATATATTATATATATGTGGGTGTATATACAGGGTGTCCCAGACCTACCGTATCACACGTTAATAGGAGATTCCTGAGGCGATTTGGAAACGATTTTTCCTCAGCGAAAATGTCCAGGCACTAATAATTTGTGTTATAAACGATTGAAAATAGAAGATTTTTTGTAAATTAAAAAATAAATGTAAAAAATAAATTATTAACAAAACTACATTTTTTAGTTAATTTTAGGTAAAGTTTACTTTAATAGAATTTTAATTTAAAGCTTATTGTTAGTTACAAAGATACATGATTTCAAAAGTTGGGAACAATAAAAAAATGATGACCTTTCTCGATATTTTCGCTGAGGAAAAATCATTTAGTAACGTAACAAATTCTTAAATATGTAAATGTAATAAGATGCATTATAATTAAAAACGAATAACTTTTGTTGTATATTTATAGTTTTTAATGCAAGAGTATGTATATATGCAACAAGCCTTAAAATTTTTAATCAATCTTTTTTACTTATAGCGCAATCATTACTAGAAATAATGCTATGTTGAATCTATGCGACACAATATCAGTACTGGGTATGACTAGTGCAATTACAGTATATAATATTTTCAAATGGTCATTCGATGATCTTTTTATTACAGGTCACAAGATTCTATCAGTGGATACAATAATATTAAGTTCTCCCTTAAAAGATTCTCATGTTTTGTAATGGATTCTTCCCTAACATTTGATGTAAACTGGATATATGACTTGCAAATTAGTATCCATCAAGTTCTTTGGGCTGTTTAAAATAAAAAAACAAAATTAATAGAGAATGTGACATTTAAACCTTGTTTCTACAGCAAACTTATCAGTATAATTGTCATCGTCACACTTCAGTCTTTCCTTAGATTGAAAGGACAAAAAGGTAAGGAGACATGATATTTAAAAATATTATATCATACTCTAGTTACACTCTAGTCATATTCAGCACTGGTAAATATACGCATGCATAGATTTAACATTGCATTATTCCTAGGGTAACGGATGCACTGTAAGTAAAAAAGATTGATTAATGATTTGAAAAAACTTTTTAGGCTTGTCGCACATACTCTTGTATTAAAAACTAAATAAACATTAAAAAATATTCGTTCCTAATTATAATGTATATCTTATGACATAAACATTTAAGAATTTGTTACATTATTAAATGTGCACATTCTTTTATAACAAAAAATATTTACCCAATGCTATTGCGAAATGAAGAAAAGACCAAAATCTCGTAAACTTTTAAATATGTTTAGAACTAAATATCTCTAATAAGATATTAAATTAATGATATATGTAAAATTAAGCTTCCTGTCATATGTGCAGAGTATACATATATGTATACATATAATATAATATAATATATATTTATCCAAAGGCAGTTTTGACAACGTTCTCAAGTATAACTAGGCAGTTTTGACGACTGTTGGCAGTTTTCGCGACCGTCGTCAAACATATCGCAGTACAAACGCAGTTTTAACGACTGTCGTCATATCTACCTTTATATAAATATTTATACTATATGCATAGTAAACCACGTAGAAGAACGTTTTGTATTATTGAAGTAACTATTATATATTTATAAGCAGTTTTATTTTGTTGTATAGTTGTTTTACGTATAATATACTGTACGTAAACATTTAATAATTGTATTATACTATATTCTTTGGCGCTTAAAATTTCATGTCACGACAGTGAGATTTTACGTGCAAAAAAACACCATATATAATTATTAATTGCTTTAAACAGTACAACATGTAAAACACAGATATACATAATATAACAACATTTAAATATAAAAATATTTTAACCAAGCATTTTTCTACATTGTTTACTGAATGTATATATATATATAGGCATACAGCCATATAAAGGTAGATTTGACGACTGTCGTTAAAACTGCCTTTATATCGCGGTGCCTTTGACGACGGTCGTGAAAACTGCCAATAGTCGTCAAAACTGCCAAATTATACTTCAAAATGTCGTCAAAACTGCCTTTAGACATATATATATACTATATGCATAGTAAACAACGTAGAAAAACGTTTTGTTGAAATAACTATTATTTATAAGCAGTTTTATTTTGTTGTATAGTTGTTTTACGTATAATATACTGTACGTAAACATTTAATAACTGTACTATATTCTTTGGCGCTTAAAATTTCATGCCACGGCAGTGAGATTTTACGTGCAAAAAAACCACCATATAATAATTAATGCTTTAAACAGTACAACATGTAAAACACAGATATACATAATATAACAACATTTAAATATGAAAATATTTTAACCAAGCATTTTTCTACATTGTTTACTGAATGTATATATATATATATAGGCATACAGCCATATAAAGGTAGATTTGACGACTGTCGTTAAAACTGCCTTTATATCGCGGTGCCTTTGACGACGGTCGTGAAAACTGCCAATAGTCGTCAAAACTGCCAAATTATACTGCAAAATGTCGTCAAAACTGCCTTTAGACATATATATATATATATATATATATATATATATATATATATATATATATATATATATAGGGAAGAATGGAGGAATTGCAATCAGTAAGAATTATTTTTATTTTCTGAAAAAAAATGTCTTTAGAACCAAAATGGAATAGTTGACGGATACTACATCAATCATTCTTCGAAAGTGGAAGCATAAAAGTTAAGAAAGCTAATATATATAATATATATATATATATATATATATGTATGTATATATATATATATATATATATATATATATATATATATATATATAGGGGAGAATAGGGGAATTGCAGTCTGTAAGAATTATTTTCTATTTTCTGAAAAAAAAATGTCTTTAGAACCAAAATGGAATAGTTGACGGATACTTCATCAATTATTTTTCGAAAGTAGAAGCATAAAAGTTAAGAAAGCTAATAAATAATTGAGCCTGCATTGATTAAAAAAATCTCTGAAGTGGCCGCAATTGACCGACGTGTTGGGTAATTACGGTCGCCTCTTGGGGTAATGCCAGCCGGTCGCTAGCAGCCAGGATTCGGTGGTATATTTTGATTACGAGCTTGAAATCCATAGAACCAATCTACGCCAGCACACCTTTTTTCTTTATTAATATTATTGGGGATGTTGTGACGTTCAGCAAACTCAAATGCTGCGCAGCGCACTTGAAAAGGTGTCTGTCCGTAGAACATTTTCGCTAACTTTATCAGGAGACGCGGTAGTGTCTCCGGCCATGTTCAAACCTTAATAAACCTTAAAAGACACTACAAGTCTCATATCCTGCATCATCAAAGTCCATTTTTTGGGGGTGTAGAACTACTAAAATATTAAAAATTTTGAATTGCACGTAATATAACCTGAAAGGCGGTTTCGCCACGAGTAATTTGAGCCAAGAAGAAATAAAATCGGTCAAGCCGTTCTGGACATACAAGCGGTCAAAAAGTGACGTTTTTCATGAAAAATTAAGAAACGTCGTCTTCTTCTCTGTCCGCGTCCGCTGACGTCATCAGGATTATATATATATATAAATCTCTTCTCACCTTTCACTCACACCTCCCTCAACTTCCACCCACCCCTTTCCCTCCCACATTCCGTCCACCCGCCCGCGCTCCCACCTCCACTCCCGCTCCTCTTTCGCCCTAACTCACCCTCTTTCGTCCTATTTTAGTCTTTTCGTTCTCTCTCACCTCTCTCTCACTAATTAATATTTATTTATATAATTGTAACGAAGCACCTTTCCCGACGCCACGGATCGGCTCGTCGGTGCCAGGATTCGGGAAGAGGGGAGACTCAGATTTGCAATAACACGCGGTTGTTCTGGTAAAAGTATAGTTTATTCGGGCCACTTTTCAGGGATTGACCCGTGGTTTAGTCTATCAATACAGAATATCACATAACAGATGAAACGCTACCAGATGTTACGGACGCGGACACGACTTCTCACTACAATTTACAGATAAAAATATCCTAAAAAAATCATAAAAATGAAAAGGTCAGGCCATGTTCAAAAGAAGGTACTCAAAAATTTAAACGATCTAATAATAAATTATCACGAAAAGTAACTGATATGTTATTCAAGGTGCCAGTTCAAAGTGAACATACGTAAAGTGTATATTATCTAAATTTAGTAATAATATATTACCATGAAAAGTAACTGTGATATTTTATTCAAGGTGCAAGTTCACATTGAATATACATACATATAAGTAAAACTGATTACAATTTGATTCTAGAAAATAAGTGCGATATGTTATTCTTAGTGCACAAAATATAATAGTCGTTTATAGAGATTTGATTTGAAATTCATACTAGCCCGTACAATGAAAAATAATTGCTCGTAATTCCAGAGTACCAATTTGTTAATGACTCAGAAAAATAACATGGCGGCCTGCTCTCAAATAACTATGATGTTTCTCGATGTCCATTTAGAAATAATGTCGAAGCTCTTACAGAATAATTACTACAACATTTGAAATACGAAAATTATTACATTAGAAGAAGATAGACTTCTTAAACGTCCACCGAGGTAGACGCGAGAGAAGACCGTCTTGTGCAGAAGGTAATTTGCCGCCGGGTGAATTATTGAACGTAACAAGAAGGCAAACATTATTTTTGGTGGCAGCGGTGGGATTGGCCAAAAGAGATCGTTGAGAGGTCGCGGAGATTGATCTGTGCGATCGGTGTTATTTCATAAGTAAAATTAACGTAAAATCAGTTATAAATTATAAATCTTAAAGCAAAATGTCCCTTACTAGAACTCCTGTACACTCAGACAACTCAGAAAACAGAGTACTCACCCGTAGTCAACTTAACCTTTATTCACAGAATTTAAACGATAAAGAAGCCCAATTAACAGCACAAGCTGAGACATTGCGAAATAGAGAGGAAAATTTACTTACATTTCAACGAACATTAGAACAAGATAGAAACATGGAGGACGGTTCGGTAACCGGAATTTCGGAACAATTAGCTGCACAATTAACCCTTATGGAAAAATTATCAGAACAAGTAACTCGCTTATCACGACGTATAGATATAATCGAACATTCTAACAATATGCAGGGACATTATGATAAAATAGAAACACAAAGACCATCCACTCCTTTGCAACTAAACTCTCCCATTCGCTTGAAAGACGCTATAGATACAATCCCCAAATTTGATGGACATAAAATGTCTGTCCTCCATTTCACGAAAATTTGCGAAAGAGCACTTCAATTAATTCCCGAATATCAAGAATATCATTTAGTTCAACTAATTATTAACAAATTGCAAGGGCATGCCTATGCCGCAATCGAGGGAGTCGAATTTAATAGCCTACGAGATCTAACGCGACGTTTAAAACTTATTTTCGGACCGAACAAATCCATCGATCAATATCGAGGAGAGTTAGCAAACATATTTATGAAACAGAATGAGAATATTTTTGATTACATCGCGCGCGTTCAAGAATTAAGAACGGCAATTATAGATGGAGAAGCCGATGTTTGTGGAAATCTCGACGATGAAGTTAGAGATAACATTGAAAAAAGCGTTACTAACAGTTTTATTAATGGATTACCTTCCGATTTATTAATCCGCGTGAAATTAGAACGGCACTATACTTTTGAACAAAATATCGTTGCTGCTATTCAATTATCCAAAACTTTAGAAGTTGAAAACCTTCAAAAGAAAAATACAATTTTTAATCGCGCTTACACTTCACCTCATGCCGACGTAAACTATCCGACGGCAAGACAAACCGTGAACAACGTTGATAATAACCATCCAATAATTAATAATTCGCGCAACAATAATATTTCTACTACTGCTCCTTTCATTAAGCCTTTGATACCTGGTCAACCCGGACCAAATTATCCAGCCACTAAAATCTGTCGTTACTGCAAAAGTTCCGGTCATTTCATGAGCGAATGTCGGAAACTCGCTTACAAAAGATCACTTGAACAAAATCAGGCTCAGCCTAGTACTTCTTTTGCTAATTCGGGAAACCCCCAAAGCGTTCCGGAAAAATCCGACGTCCGCCGGAACGAAGCCCCGACAAAACGCACACAACCTGCAAACATGATCCTTACACAGCAATCAATTCCAACCACACCACTCGAATCTGCAGTGTAGATAACGAGATTAAACACGACGACTTACCTTCTATCAAACTTATATCCCCACACTTATCACATGAATGCAATTTCATGATTGATTCAGGCTCTGGCATAAATCAAACCATATAATCAAATCATATATATCAAACAACAATTTGTATTACCTCACGTCAATCTAGATAAAGAAAATATTATATCCATTCGAGACATTTCCTCCGAAACAATAGTAACTTTAGGTTCCATAACTATCCACTTGTTAGACAAACCTACCCTGTTCCATGTAATATCAGACTCCATTTGCATTCCCCAAGACGGGATCCTAGGGAACGCTTTCTTCAAAGAAAGAAGCATTATCATAAATTATAAAGATAGATGTCTTTATCACGGCACTATTATCATTCCTTTCATCACCTATGAAGTTGAAAAATTACATCTGAAAACAAGGACTGTTACTCCTTGTTGCATTCATATTTCTAATCCAGAAATACATACTGGATACTTACCTTTACAAACCCTCGCTGACAAGG